TACAGTGTGGTGTTTTCATATATTATTTGAAATATTTTCATCAAACTGATTAACATAACCTTCATGTGATTTTCTTAGTTATTGTGTTAAGACATTTATGTTCTACTTTTAGAAAGATTCACTTGAACCCCTGTAAGATAAACCATAGAGATAATCCCACCAATCACCCTCCCTCCACTCATCCACCCCCTCCCCTCTCCTCCCTCCTCCCCTATTCTTAAACTATAATTAGGTCATAGCTTTCATATGAAAGCTATAAACTAGTTTCATAATAAAGCTGAGTACATTGGCTACCTTTTCTTCCATTCTTGAGGTACTTTGCTTAGAAGAACATTTTCCAGCTCCATCCATGTAAATGTGAAGGAGGTAAAGTCTCCATCTTTCTTTAGGGCTGCGTAATATTCCATGGTGTACATATATCACAATTTATTGATCCATTCGTGGATCGATGGGCACTTGGGCTTCTTCCATGACCTAGGAATTATTGGGCTGCAATAAACATCCTGATACAAATATCTTTGTTGTAATGTGATTTTTGATCTTCTGGGTATATACACAATAAAGGGATTGTAGGATCAAATGGCAGGTCTGCTTTTAGTTCTCTAAGTGTTCTCCAGATGTCTTTCAAAAAGGAACATGTTAGTTTGCATTCCTACCATCAGTGTAGAACTGTTCCCTTTTCTTCGCATCCACGCCAACATCTCTGGTTTGGGGATTTTGTGATATGGGCTAGTCTTACTGGAGTTAGGTGATATCTCAAAGTAGTTTTGATTTGCATTTCTCTGATGATTAAGGATGGTGAGCATTTTTTCATATATCTGTAGGCCTTGTGCCGATCTTCTTTAGAGAAATTTCTTTTCAAGTCCCTTGCCTACCCTGAGATAGGATCGCTTGTTCTTTTCTTGCTATTATACTTGAGTTCTCTATGGATTCTGGTTATTAAACCTTTGTTGGAGACATAACCTGCAAATATCTTCTCCCACTTTGAGAGCTGTCTGCTTGCTTTACTTACTGTGTTCTTGGCTGTGCAGAAGCTTTTTAGTTTGATCAGGTCCCAATAGTTTATTTTTGATGTTTCTTCAATTGCTCGGGGGGTTTGCCTGATAAAATTTTCACCCAGGCCTATTTCTTCAAGTGTTTTCTCTACACTTTCTTGTAGTGTTTTTATAGTTTCATGTCTTAAGTTTAAATCTTTAATCCAGTGAGAGTCTATCTTAGTTAATGGTGAAAGGTGTGGGTCCAGTTTCAATCTCCTACGGGTCACCAACCAGTTCACCCAGCACCATTTGTTAAATAGGGAATATTTCCCCCACTCAATGTTTTTAATTGGCTTATCAAAGATCAGGTAATGGTAAGTAGCTAGGTTTAACTCTTGGCTCTATTCTGTTCCATACATCTACCTCTCAGTTTTTGTGCCAGTACCATGCCATTGTAGTATAGTCTGAAGTCTGGTAGCGTGATTCCTCCTGCTTTGTGTTTATTTCTGAGTAATGTCTTGGCTATTTGAGGTTTTTTTCTGATTCCATACCAAATGAAGTATTATTTTTTTTGAGATCTTTAAAGTATGACAGTGGAGCTTTAATAGGGATTGCATTAAAATTATACATTGCTTTGGGTAGTATGGACATTTTAACAATGTTGATTCTTCCCAGCCATTAACATGGCATGTTTTTCCATTTGTTAACATTTTCACCTATTTCTTTTCTTAGAGTGTCATAGTTCTCTTTATAGAGATCTTTCACATCCTTTGCTAGGTGAGCTCCCAAATATTTCATCTTCTTTGGCAGTACCGTGAATGGAATAGAGTCCTTGATTGTTTTTTCAGCTTGGCTACTGTTGGTGTATATAAAGGCTACCGATTTATGAGTACCGATTTTGTAACCTGAGGTGCTGCTGTATTCCTTGATCACTTCTAAGAGTTTTGTTGTAGAATCCCTGGTGCTTTCCAGATATACAATCATATCATCTGTGAAGACCAAAAGTTTAATCTCTTCTGACCCTATATGGATACCATTGATTGCATTTTCTTTCCTAATTGTGATGGCTTCTATTACAATGTTAAAGAGCGATGGAGACCTTGGGCAACCTTACCTGCTTCCTGATCTGAGTGGAATGGATTTCAACTCAACTCCATAAAATACAATATTGGAGTGTCCAGTGGACATTTTTAATCCTTTTGCCACTGTGGAAGTTGGAATTTGATCAATAGTTTCTGAGCGAGTTTACTTTTGTGTTGGAGCATTGCACTGGTCATTATGGAGGATGGGTCTGAGAATATCTGGAGAGCTGGTTTAGTTATGGCCAATTTCTTCAACATGTGATTGTCATTAAAGTATTTAATTTCTCCATCAGAAATGAAACTCAGTTTAGCTGAGTACAGGGTCCTGGGTTGAAAGTTATTTTGTTTTAGGAGATTAAATGTCGATGATCACCCTTTTCTGGCCTGAAAGGTTTTGGCAGAGAGATCTTTAGTCATTCTAATATTCTACCCCTTGTAGGTTATGGTTTTTGTATGTCTAGCTGCTTTCAAGGTTTTCTCTTTCATGTTAACTTTAGTGAAGTTAATTATGATGTGTCTGGGGGATGTCTTATTCGGGTGGAGTCGTGCTGGGGTTCTGAAGCTGTCTGCTATCTGAATTTCAGAATCTCTTGGTATATATGGAATGTTCTCTTTCAAAATTTCATAAAGAAGAGCCTCTGTGTTTTGTGAAGGAACTTCATCACCTTCAGGGATTCCTATAAGGTGAATATTAGTTTTTTTTTAATTATCCCAGAACTCTCTGAGAGAATGATTCATTTTTGCTTTCGATTTCTGTTCTTCTTTGGACACCTGGGCATGTTCAGAAGCTTGGTCTTCAATGTCTGCGATCCTTTTTCCGACCTGCTGCATTCTGTTACCAAGGGATTGTACTGTATTTTTCAGATCTTTAAGGGCTGCAATCTCTTGCCTCAATGTTTCAAAAGCTTTGGTGGTTTTTTCTTTGGATTCATTGAATTCTTGAGTGAACTTTTGGAAAGCTCCTTGAACTTCTAATTCTGTCTTTGCCTCTATTCTATTAATCTTATTTGCAATCCAAATTCTGAATTTGATTTCTGACATCTCAACCATCTATTTATGAAGGAGATCTTCAGTTACATCTGCTACATTTTTTCTTGGGGGTGTTGATCCACTCTTGTTATTCATATTACGGGAGATTTTCCACTGATTCCGCCCCATGATTATTTTACCCCCTTTGGCTTTTCCCCTTGAGTTTTGTCAAGGACCCATACGGTGTTGCAGCCTGAGAGACTGGGGACCTGCTTGGTGTGGTGGGGCTAAATGACGCTGTCTTATTTTCTTCTGGTCTCTGTTCTACCCTAGTGAATCAGTTACTCTTCGTTGGAAAAATACCAGCAATTAAATCACCCCACCCCCCACAAACAACGATTAGGCAAGGAAAATCAAACCTTCCCTCAACCATACACCCAAGGTGCCACTTTGGATAGTCCTTAGGTGATTTTCCCGGTTCAAGGGGTCCACATCAGTTGTTCCAGTCAGCACCAGTCTCAGGTGGGAGAGTTCAAAAAGTCTCTGAGAACTAGACTGCCAACTGTGGGGTCTGCTGGCAGATCAGATATGACTTGCTCCAGTACTCCAAGAGGGCAGAAGGACCCACGCAGCAAACGAATTAAGTCTGGGAAGGTTGATGCCTCCTTCCCCACCTTGCACCCAGTCACTGGTAATCCCACGAGGCTGTGACCCAGTTCACTCCAGTGAGCAACTGCTTCTGGGGTTTATGACTGTCCGAGTCACCAGGGGATCTGAGTCCAGCAGAGAGACCTTGGATGTTTAAAGTATAGGCTTGGGAAGTTCACTCTGTTCCAGCCTCGCTCCTGGTTGAAGTTGCTCACAGAACAGGACAGAGCAACTTCACAGAATTTGTTTCTGTCCTGGCTAAATTCCTCTGCTGGTCAGATGCTGCTAAAGCTGATAAAAAAAAAAAAAAAAAAACTCATCCCTGGGCAGCAAGCAATTAGAGTTTCCACTCAGGTGTCAATTCTAGCCTCTGCCCACCCACTGCCTTTGTCCAGCTGTAATCCCCTGAAGGCTGGGTGCCATTAGGCTCAGTGAAGCATTCTTATGACTAACCCCTCCCTGGAAGTCTGTGGGCTCTGCACTCTCTCTGCCCAGGTTGGTACCACCTAGGGCTTGTCTCTACTCACAGAACTTCCCAAGTCCACTCCGCCAAAATGTCGGCATGTCTTTCTGGAATGGTCTAAGGAGTGTGTGCTGCCACAGCTGCCACTCTGCAATTCAGGATATTGAAGCTCCTGTATGATTCCCTCTCAGCTGACTGTCCTCCTAACTCCCGTGCCACAGAATCACCACAGACCAGCACCAGCCCTTTCCCCCCTCCACTCCTCTCAAGAAAATGCCCAAGAATCTGAATTCCATGGATGACAAACCCCCTGACATCAGGCAGAGAGTGGAAGGGAGTTCTGGGAATTCAAAGTTGCAAGTAGTGAATATATACAGTTTTATAGTTTTATGCCTGGCAGGAGAGTGCTGTGGCCCACTAGTAGGGGTAGGAAGTCCAGTTTTTAGAGGGTCTCTCCTGAGGGATAGAGTGGGAGGACATTTGAACTCTGCTCGCTTGTTTGTTTGGAGTAAACTGCGAGCCCTTCTTGTGGGGGAGGGGACTCCCATCTGCTTGGTAGTGGATTTTGTACCTTTTGATTATATTTTTGGAGTTGCAGCTCGCCTCAGCAAGGTTGTTGTGCGTTCTTCAATCTTCTCTCTTGGCTCAGCTTCAAACCATCGGCTTACTTGCAAACTTCTGTCCTTTAAGTCTCCTTCTGGATGGGAGCCTCTGTGGAATGCTGACTGCAGTCCACCATCTTACGTCCACACACACCCCCCCCCCAACAAAATAACTTACAACCCAGGATCCTGTATCCAGCTAAACTGAGTTTCATTTATGATGGAGAAATTAAATACTTTTTTGTTGCTTTGGGTGGGGATTAAATATTGTTCTTGAGAAGAACGTCTTTGTCCGAAGAGAAAATGAGTTTAGCTCTGAGAAGTGAGCTTGTAGTAGACAAAACTAAGAGGGGAAAAAAGAAGAGAACTCACTGAGGAACAGAAACAAGAAATTAAAGATGCTTTTGAACTATTTGATACAGACAAAGATGAAGCAATAGATTATCATGAATTAAAGGTGGCAATGAGAGCCTTGGGGTTTGATGTAAAAAAGGCTGATGTACTGAAGATTCTTAAAGATTATGACAGAGAAGCCACAGGGAAAATCACCTTTGAAGATTTTAATGAAGTTGTGACAGACTGGATATTGGAAAGAGATCCACATGAAGAAATACTGAAGGCATTTAAGCTATTTGATGATGATGATTCGGGCAAAATAAGCTTGAGGAATTTGCGACGTGTTGCTAGAGAATTGGATGAAAACATGAGTGATGAAGAACTCCGAGCTATGATAGAAGAATTTGATTAAGACGGTGATGGAGAAATTAATCAAGAGGAGTTCATTGCTATTATGACCGGTGACATTTAAAGAATTGCAAGGATAAAAACTAAGAATGTTGCAGTTACTGTCTTACAATCTAGTTTTGTGCCTGGAGCCATGTAAAAAAGGAAACTTAGTTCTTTTTTCCAAAAGGACCAAAAATAAGCGTCTTGTGTATTTGTATTTTACTACTGTTGTTTCTTTGTATGAACCATATTATTAGTACTCAAATAGTTTAGCCTTGTATTTATAATATAGATTTTATATAAAGTTTTTAAAAAATTGAATTGTGATGTGCATTCTTTGAAGGTTTTTTATTTAACAGTAGTCATTTTTATTTTGGTGCACACATTTTTTCAGACTTGCATTAATAAAGGTTTTATTGATAAAAAAAAAGAAATTAAATACTTTAATGACATTCACATGTTGAAGAAATTGGCCATAACTAAAGCAGTTCTCCAAGATATTCTCAGACCTATCTTCCCTAATGACCAGTACAATCCTCCTCTACAAAAGTAAACTCACTCAGAAACTTTTGATCAAATTCCAACTTTTACAGTGGGAAAAGGGGCACAGGTTGGCTGACTGGATACAAAAACTCAGGCCAGATATCTGCCACATACAAGTATCTGCTGCATACAAGAATCTCATCTTACCTCAAAAGATAAATATAGACTCAGGGTAAAGGGATGGTCATCTATATTTCAGGCAAATGGAAATCAGAAAAAAAAAACATGTGTTGCCATTTTATTCACAGATACAATTAGCTTTAAACCAAGAAAAGTCAGGAAGGATAAGAATGGTCACTTCATATTTGTTAAGGGGAACACTCAATATGATGAGGTTTCAATTATTAACATTTATGCACCCAACCAGAATGCATCTCAATTTATAAGAGAGATGCTAACAGACATGAGCAACTTGATTTTCTCCAGTGCCATAATAGTCAGAGATTTTAACACTCCTTTAGCAGTGTTGGACAGGTCCTCCAATAAGAAGCTAAGCTAAGAAATTTTAGATTTAAACTTAACCATTAAACAATTGGCTTTAACAGACATCTACAGAACATTTTATCCTGAAAAAACTGAATACACATTCTTCTCATCGGCCCATGGAAAATCCTCCAAAATTTATCGCACCTTAGGTGTAACCTCAGCAAATTTAAAAGAATAGAAATTATTCCTTGCTTCTTCTCAGACCATCATGGAATAAAAGTTGAAAGTAACAACAGGAATCTGCAGACTCACAAAAACATAGCAGATAAATAGCCTTATTCTGAAAGATAGATGGGTCATAGATTAAGAAGGAAATTGCCAAATTTTTTGAACAAAGTGATAATGAAGACATGAATTATCAGAACATGTGGGATCCCACAAAGGCAATCATAAGAGGGAAATTTATAGCACTGAAAGCCTTCCTCAAGAGAAGAGAAAGAGGGGAGGTTAACAACTTAATGGGGCATCTCAAGCAACTGGAAAAGGAAGAAGATTCCAATCCCAAACCCAGCAGAAGAAAAGAAATAACCAACATTAGAGCGGAATTAAATGAAATCGAAAACAAAAGAATTATATAACAGATCAATCAATCAAAAAGATGGTTTTTTGAAAAGGTCAATAAAATAGATAAACCTTTGGCTAATCTAACCAAGAAAAAAAAGAATAAAATCTCTAATTTCATCAATCTGAAATGGCAATGATGAAATAACAACAAACACCTCAGAAATTCAAAAAATCTTTAATGAATATTACAAGAAACTTCATTCTCAGAAATATGAAAATCTGAAGGAAATTGACCAATACTTGGAAGCACGCCACCTTCCAAGACTTAGCCAGAATCAAAGGGAAATGTTGAACAGGCCAATATGAAGTTCTCAAATAGCATCATCTATACAAAATCTCCCTAAAAAGAAAAGCCCAGGACCGGATGGCTTCACATCAGAATTCTACCAAACCTTTCAGGAGGAACAAGTACCTATATTACTCAACTTTTCCTAACACAAAGAAGATGGAGGAATACTGCCCAACACATTCTATGAAGCAAACATCACCTTGATCCCCAAAGCAGGAAAAGACCCACCAAGAAATAAAAATGATAGACCAATATCACTAATGAATATTGATGTGAAAATATTCAACAAGGTCCTAACAAACAGAATCCAGCAACACATCAAACAAATTATACACCATGTCCAGGTGGGTTTTAACCCAGGTTCTCAAGGCTGGTTCAATATTCATAAATCTATAAATATAGACAAATTAAAACAAATTAATTATAAACAAATTAAAAAACA